GAATGCTTTATAGATCTTCCTACAGGAAACCTATTACAGCTTATTATTTTTCTATCAAATTGGTTCCACTAGGTTCTTGCGTAGCCAAAATTAATTTCACTAAATCAAATTAAACCATGTCTATTTCTAAGTAAATGTCAATCCAAACCATCTAACCATTAGTTAAGTAGTATCTTGCTCTATAAGACATTAATCCACTAAAAGACTCTCAAACCCAACAAATCTATCAGAGGTCAAGGGTCACCAATTTCTCAATATTACCATCCAATCCGATTAGAAATGGTTTTTATCAAGGTTGTCAAACCAACATCATAAATTACCAGAGTTTCATTAAATTCACCAAGATTAGGCGAGCAGACATGACCTTGTGAATGACCTTGGCAAGTCAATCATGGTATAAATAGAGGAAGAAATCTTCATATTGACAGTTACTATAAATAGAAATACGATAAAACAGGGCTAGCCTGATTGGGTTCAGCTTTATTCTCGATTTCTTTCTGCGCCAGATAACAAATAAATTCACAATAACTAGATAATCACTCCCGATAGTGGAAGGCTTTTTTGATTGCACATCTTTGCAAAGATACAGAATTTTATCACTTTCAACAAACATTGATAAAGATAAGAGATGTGAAGATATTTTTGATAGTCGAGATTAAGCAGAAAATCTTTTATGCTATATTCTAATTCTGTATCTTGGTAGCAGACAGACACTTAATCATTTTTTTTAGTCAAATTTCAGATAAATAAATACTTTTTGTTAAAAATATTCACGACTGAAACTTTAAAAATATACCAATACATTTTTGATGAAAAAAAGTATTGGTTGACACACAATTGTGCATATACAATGCCTGTTCTGTGGTGTTTTTTAATCATGAAATTATGTACATGTATTCTAAAACTAATCATTGTCAAGACCAGTGCTGGTTATTGGCACCACAGTCACGATACTTATGTATTGCGATTCAAGGGCTACAATGATTCGTATCTCGATTCATAAACAGGTCAATATTTACCAAGAAAAGAACAGTATAAATGAATAATTGATATTTTTAGTCCTGCCTATGTCGAAGAAATAAAACTGTTTTATATCACGATATTGATGTGGATCAAAATAAGAACCTACGTGTATCTATGGATAATGTGTAACGAGCATAATTTAGAGTGACCGGTTACTTAAGCGACAAAAAAAACAAAAGAAATAGAATCCGGATACATCGATTCAGCGTCTCGCAATTCAATAAGCGACTCGTGAGAAGGTAAATCGCAATACATCAATTTAACAATATATCGTGCCAGCACTAGTCAGGATTACATTTTTGCAAATCATATCTCCAGGGTAAATCTCTTACCGTGAAGATACAGTTAGTACCTGTTTCATCAGTTTTATAATTTCTAGTTTGTTTTACGAGCATTCAATAATTGTATACAGAGCTAGTTGTTAGTACTAATATATATATATATATGTACACACAAAGCTATAACCATTGCGTCTGCTGGGGATGTAAGCCAATGTTTAAAGCCGGCCATAATCTGTATTCGTTGAAGACATCAGAGGATGATTAATACGGCTCACGTTTACGCAGATTCTGATATATTTTGACAATTTCATTTGTAACCAATCGATACTATATTTATTTGTTAATCTAGATGGCAGTGGTAGCGATTGCTTTGTTGGTCTTATATTGAAACAGAACATCAATAAATCTCATTGTATGGCCATTTCTTGGCACGACACATCCCCACCATTATAAAGTACTATCTTTAAGACTCTAGCAGAGAGATGTATAAATCGCACATGTTCTATGGATATCATTTAATGACATCCAGACGCCTTTGCCATATAACCATTTTTTTTTCTCTTCATATAAGACCATAATTTCTAATACAGAGGCCATTTTATGGAAACCTAACCAATACGGATTATTCTGTATCTTCCAGATTCAGTACCGGCAATATGTTATAGGTCTTCATATAGACCATAATTCCTAATATACAGGTCATTTAATTGAAACCTTACCAATACCGATTATAGAGAGGTTTGTATCTCCCAAATTCAGTAATATATTTTTTTGTAAACTGACAAGTAGATAAGATAGCTGGACTAATTATGCCTTAGTCATAGTATCAGGAAATCTGGTTAGGACCTGTATAAACAATTGAAAATAAAACACCTAGTTTAATCTACTCTATTATGTGTATACACAAGACTGGGTGGGGTAAGTTCAAAGCACTCTTTCAACTTTATTTAAGCTGATATGCATAAAGATCAAAATCCTTAATGCATGGGAAAAATCATTATACAGTCCTACACATTCATCCATTTCAAAGTATTCAAATTACAGTAAAACTCTCTACTTAACATACAGGCCTTGTTATATGATATAGTAAAATAGATATCAAATTTATATGTAAAATGTAGCCTACGTGTACAGGTACCTTCCTTGCAAATTTAACAATACTACATGATAATACGACACGATAACCTCTTCACATATCAGAACCACAAAACAACAAAAACAAAATGAAACTGAGAAAGAGGGGGCGGCCATCTTACTATTATTCATAATGGAGTTACTTTGTTGCTAAGATCAAGTGATAACCTATGTCCTTACAAATATCTGATGGTGAGTGAACATTTGGTAGTGATTTTGCCGATATTAATCATGTGACAGGAATTGTGATTATCATATGATTTATGGTTGTATTTTGATGTTGTCGTTAATCAGATAATTCGCAGAGTGTAGAAAATGGTGGCTTATCAAGCGATTTACAGTAATTTAACAACCGCTAACTAACTTTGTGTTAAAGTAATTAATATAGTAATCGAGTGTTAAGATATAACATGAAGTGTTTGTTGATTATAATATTTATATATTTTAACAGTTTCATGTAAACAACAGATGTGGTAAGTATAATGATATATAACTCAAATATCTATAATAAATTATATATACTCTTATTCATTTAGAAATTATAGAGTTTTGAAATGACATTTAGCTGAATTTGTAAAATTAGACGGTATTTACCTTTAAATTCAAGTAAAGGATGCACCATGCATTAAAGTCTTTTAAAAGAACTTTAAAAATCTTTAAATAACCACAATTAAATATACAATAAAATAATTTTGGATGGTGCTCAAAAAGTGCTGTGTACTTTAAGGAAACTTTAGAAATCTTTAAATAATCACAATTAAATATACAGATCAAATAATTTTGGACCGTGCTCAAAAAAAAAAAAGACTAGACATTATTGTTTGTTTATCATATTTGTCAATATAGATGATAACTTAGCACCTTTCTTTACACCCTGTTGTTAATATACACTCTTATGGTTACCACAATTATATTACACATAAAGACATTAAATTTGCATTCCATGTCAATGTGGGGCATATTTACAAGTAGTTAAGTAGTGCCAAGAATCTTGAACACAAGTGGAATGTGTGTGTGTTTAAGTAAACCAATACTAAATAATCATTTCTATTACATACTGGGATAAGACCAAGGTCCTTTAAGTTCAATATACCAATCTATGTAACACCTGCTTTTTTAACTCAATTAATCTCATATCATCAGAAAAGCCTGATAAAATTCAACATTAAGTCAGACTTCAAAGTCAATCTACACCAAGAACCCCCAGGTATTAGATTACATGGGCTACTTAAAAAAAAGATCCATATGAAACTGCTCCGTATTTCTTGAGTTTACAATACAATGCCACTAAACTAGCAGCAATGAAAAAGAACTCGAAATCAATGTATAAATACCACAACATTCTTATTAGTTATGAATTTCAAAATTCAGACATAAAAGCCTACTTCAAAAACATGACCTATTTTTATGGCAGGTCATCAGTTTGTTTCATGAAAGAACAATACTTGTTATTTCGTTTTTGAAGAAAACAATGTAAGTGTAAAATTTCTAACTGTTTTTGATTTGAGATGTGAAACAACAACTGTGCAGATTCCACACAAAATACTTGTTGCCGAATACAAACAAAACTGCAGTGTGTATTTTAAAACAAGACTTTAATCTTCAGAATATGTGTCTTACGTTTGCATAGAAAGGATCGAAGAAAAATACCAGTTGCTGTTCTCAATAACTGTGTGAATGTCCATGTAGTTTATTTTAACTTTAGCATTACATGTATTTACCCTTTCTCGTTTATCTTTGTAAATATCTTAACAAAAACTTGTTACAAAAAGTATAGTATTCATAATAAAACTGTTTAGATATTATATAAATTTATACATAAAAATGTTGGCAATTCAAATGAAAGCAATGTGCATGGCGATATGCAGTGCATCATTTTATTGAGGATTTGCTTGCGTTTAATATGGCCGTCATATATATATATATCCACATACACAGTTTGAAATTGATCACAAGTTATAAATATTTATTAAGTGATACAAAGTGTATTATAGATAGCATCTTTTCTGTCACTAACTATAAAGGATTAATTGTATTTGGGAATATTAAAATGACAATAATATGTTGTTTAATATTCCCAGGCTTACATTCAGATTGAGAGAAGTTTATTATTCGTATTTTATGTATTAATACGGCACGGAGCCGAGAACAGACAATGAATGATGTATAATTTTGATTTGCTGATTAGTGAATCTTATTTTGTTGGTCAGGATTTCTACAGGGATTAAATTGCTTATTACCATATATGTGCGTGTCGTGTTAGCAATGTCTCGTGTCAGTTATCAAAACAAAACTGTCGTAAAACCAGAATAACTATACAAAGAGGCAAATTACGATTTTAAAGTTGATATTTGGGTTTTGCGTGGGAGCGGGTGGAGGATTCTGAGTGTCCCATTGAAACCTTGGATCATCAGTCAATAAATCTTTCATCATGGGAATATTTTATTATGTAAGCTATATTTGTTATTATGCTAGCTATATTTGTAAATTGGGGTGTTTATGATTTGTAGGTGTGTATGTAGTAGACCATATATGACAAAACTTATTTAAAGAAGTACTTACGGGTCCAAATTGACTAAAGTATTTTTTAACTTCTTCTGCTGTGGTTGAAGCGGATAGACCACCAACAAATATCTTTTTAGTTCTGGTTACCATCTGAAAGCAAAAACAACACAAGTAATAGAGATGTTTTAAAGTACTGGATTAATAAATTTTAACATACATGTACATTAAGTGTGTATACTTCTATACACTACAGACAATGAAATTTAAACCATGGTCATGAATTGCAGAGGTTCTATCTTGGAAGTTCCCTGTGGAATATTTACTAAAAAACCTCTGGTAAGATATAACTTTTTTCTAACAATCTATACAATTATTTATTATCAAATTTATTATTTGAAGTACACAAAAATAAAATTTAGCCCCACTAGACTTTAAATTCTAAGTGTCAGTAGAAAAACGCTCTCTTTGACCTACTTACATCTTTATTGACTTTTGATACCCTATACATGAATTAATCACAAGATGGCAATCATTCATTAACACCTCAAAATACATACAGATAGACCTTTCCACTGCTATAGACGTTATATTTCAGACCAAACTTATCAAATATACATTACAATGCCACGCTTTATTCACGGGATCGCTCAAGCATGGAATTAGACAGCCGAAGAAATCAACAATTTGACATTCATTATCATTGATTCCGTCCAAAACTACATTAAAACGGACTTGGATCATCCATCATCAGCACTCCCTGTCTGCTAAAACAAATACACGCTATTTATAGTAACAACTAATCAAGTCTTCTAACCAGATTACCCAATCATATTCAAGCAGTTAATAAACAATGTTTCATAACTATGGGTTAATACACCCATATTCCACAGTTTTTACAGGCAATCAACCTACAAATCCATTGAGAACAGAGGCTGAAGACAAAACCATGTCATGACTCAACTAACTGCTATTCTGTCCTATAATAACATGCTTTTGGGAATAAAGGGGAGAAAACAAATTAGCCTGAAATGAGTTCTTGGAACTTGCATGAACATGGAAGGAGGGAAAATTAAGTCCCCCTTTTTAGTTTCAAAATATGCTAATAAAATTGGAGTTAATTTAATGTTTCCTTGGGCTAGTAGTTTGCTGTGACAATACATGTTTAGGATCTATAGAATGTTGGACAATAATGAAATATGCAAACCAATGTTTCAAAATGAAGTTTCATAACTGACCTGAACTAAAAACTTTCCTTATGATAAAATTAGGCCATTACGATATTTGGCCAATAAAGTATAGGGCAATAAATGTAGATTATTTTCAAATATTTATATTATATTCAAATTCATTGATATTTTCCGTGCAACATATTGTGGCTTAAAAATGTCAGCCATCGAATGACTGAGTATAAAAGACAAAAGGTAGATATTGAATATATCTTAAAATAGCAAGAAGCACCATGTCGTATGGTATAGATATTGATTTAACGACATACTTATTCTCTATAATATTCGTAAATAAAATCAACTTTGCCATAAAATATTCATACATACATACATATTCAGATATGTTACTTTTTTTTATATAAAGTGCTTACAAATCATGATGTGTTTATATAAAGAAATCCCTTTTGATTAGATACGCTTCACCATACATGTACCTTAAACACTGATTACTTATTTAAAAGATTACCATTAAATATTATGAATAATTTCAAATTAGATCACAGAAAACAATTCTATGCATATTTTGGCAAATGAACAAAGGATTATTAAGCAAGAGAAGTTTGATTTTCCAAAGAATACGGACATTAATTATCTAAATACTGGTAATATGCATACCATATATCACATGTGATGGAATTCAATAAGATAATCTATGAATCAATTATGGAATAATTGCAGAAGTTCGTGGAACCATGCAATATCATAACCTATCAATATTAAGCTTGGGTCATAATCTTATCTCATATATCACGGTAAATATAATGTATATTGTCATATGTATTACATTATATATAAAATATGTAATAAACCACTCAATACAATACAGGTCTCGCCACATTGACACAAATAGCGATAACAGATCAATATCCCAACAATCGCCACACCAAAATAAACAACATTTAAAAAAACAATAATCTGAATTAAATATACATAAACCTGTGGTGAGGAACGTCCCAATGCTACTCTCTGTTTGGCGGGTCTTGCTTTAAGCCAGCATGCCATCTTGTATGAAGGTATATACCGTTATGTCCTCTCTAATACTGCTATATTACTACTAGTCGTTGTGTGAATTAAGTATTGGAAATCGGTCCCAGCTTTGTGCTAGAGGAGTTTTTCATCACCTTAGCAACAAGAAACTAACACAAAACTTGTATAAATATTCAAGGTAGATTTTCTCATTTACCATCAAGCACAATCGAAACCGACCCCTTCAATATGTCTTCTTTTCTTTTCTCCCTCTTTTTATAAATAATATCACTAGCTAATTCCCAGTTGCAAAATAAAGCTCCATTCGATTGATCAGCAAAAGACACAAGAAATCTATTCTTTCCATTGACCCGATTCGCAATGAATGTGAGTCTTTATTGCCAAAATCCACTCGTGAGTAATAGAAATGACTTTTATTGAAAATAAATACCGTAAAATCGTTATTCTTCGCTCGACGTTGTTTTATGTTTTAGTTGGATTGGTGGAGACTTTATTAGGGGAAGTGGCGATACAAGATCTAATTTTGGCTGCTGTGCTTTACGTCACTCAAATAAACATAAAACATTATAGACCAGTTTATTGGATATTAACTTATTCAAGATTTTTTTTCTTTTGAAATTCTTTTCATACTGGTCGTAATACATGTGTGCATGAAGTAAAAATCAGACGTCATCGATCCAGACTTAGATACATATTTAGAAACTTTGAGGTTTTATAAGAGAATATTTCTTGGCCAGCCTGCCAGATTCCCACTGCATTAATAATCTCCAAACTAAAAGCCTGTGTTATTTGATGGACAGATACAAATTGACGTTATAAATCTTATTTCATTGGTACAATTAGTTTACATTATGTCCTGTTTTCTGCAACAGTTACCCATAAGTTTAAAATACACAAATTACTTACAAAATCGTTTCTTCATTTATTGCTAATACAATTTAAATGTCTCAGATTTTTTTTCTAAATACGATTTAAATGTCTCAGATTTTTGTTTTCTAAATCTCAGATTTAAGGAGTTTTACAGTAGCAAAAGAGGAAATTAAATTTAGGGATATTGGTGTGAATAATGTAACCATTCTTTTCAATAGAAAATCTTGACCTTCTGAACATGCAGAATCTAATCTAAATAACGATATACCTGTGACTGTGAAGTGATTATTACTGACACCTCTAGAGTATGAAAGCATACAATCACCACAATACCCTATATTTATATATACTCTCCTAAACTCAGAGGTTTTTATTAATTATTCTCTATATTTCTTTATTATACTGTTTAAACATATTTGTAATGTCAATACAATTTTTATCATGAGTTCAAATGATGAATGCGCGGTAGGACATAATGGTAAAAAAAAAAGATTTGTATTAAAACGTTGACATAATATTATTACAATGACAATTTCTAAACATTCTTTAGGAGACTAAAAACCCCAATTATGTATTCTTAATCAAAGGAAATAGTTATTCAAAGATTTTGGTACATGTACATGGACTTGGTAAAAAGTTCTATTATTGAAAGCTCATAAGGTCACTAAGCCCACTATTTGAAGGAATAATTACTCAAAGGAAAAGAATTAAATGATAGAGGTAATTATGTAATTAAATTTCAAAACAACTGTCCCTTTAACTCCATACCACTGGATAATTTGACCTATATCCCACTACCAGGGCTATGTAAGAACTCCAGCTACCTTTCCCGCAGCTACATATACCTGGACAATATCCTATTCCGAGATCTGCTCCCCTTTGCCACTCCATTAATCTACTTAAGTTGTCTACAACCCTGCTACTATTATTTAACTACCTTACTAAGGAAAGTACCATTTACTATATTTAAAAATATATTTGGAATTTGGAATACTACAGTTTATCTCCAGTTCTAATAATCTCTTTTAATCGTATGCAGTTATTACTTATTTCAGTACACAACTTATTGTTCAAAATATTCTACATAAAATATAAGTTAAACAGCATTCTATAAACCTGTCAATGCATATTGCCCACAGCACATATCAACTCATTTACATCTTCAAACAATGGTTGACATTACATTTATAATATCACTTTTTCTTTTTTGATTGTTAAAATATAAATGTTGCCGCTAGGTTTGAATCTGAATGAGTTTTATGGTAAACATCTAAATGCATAATGTACCATTAAGCCATTACTAAAATACAGCTTGATTGAGAAAAAGTGAGTTCTAAGATTTCAAGATCAACACATGAGCTAGTGTCTGTTAAATCTGATACCCAATAAATTCAATTGAATGGTTAGTTCAATGGCTTTCATTTGGCAGGTTAGAAATCTAATCGCCAGAGATAGATTAATATTCAAGTATATTGTAAAACAAGGATGTGACTCCAAGTGTGACATATACTGTTCAACTGTCATGGTTATATTGGGTTTTAACATTGTATAACTACCCCAGGCATTTAACATCGTATGACATGTGACGTGCTAAGTTGACATCAGCTATTTTGCATTCAATTGACTTATAAAATATGACATTTGGGTTGTATCAATGTAAGCGGCCATGACAAACGCGTCTGAATGTAAATTAGATGAGCACTATTTTAATGGCCTGGGTTGGCATCAAATGTTAAAATTCAGACACACAATAAAAGAAACAATACTGAGCATTTACCCAAGAATTGAAATCCAAAATTTGAATATGGTTATATTGGAATTCAGATACATGTAACTAATTGAGTGATAGTCAAGCAAAAAAGTGGGGGTTGTGTGGCCGAATGGGTTAATGCCCGTACTTTAGATCATAAGGTCTGTCATTGAGTCAAGTGGCAAGGTTTCTCTCAGTCCTCTGGTTCCTCACTCTGCTAAAAAAAAAATACCTATGTGCAAGTGAATTAATAATATAAAAAATTGAACCAATGTGTTCGAAATGACCTAGTTAAAACCCAATTTCTATCTGTCTCA